AAGTACGGAACAGGGGAACTTAGGCAAGGGGGTGTCAAGGGGGGCTCCTGGTGGCGTGGAGGGGAAGGGGGAGGGGCCGAGATGGAGGGCGCCAACTTCGCGTCGCGTCTCGCCGACTCGCGCCGGGCTGGAACGGCAGGCCTCAATGAAAAGATTGTGGTTGGGTCACGGCAGAGTCCGGGTTCCGTCGTTGCCTCATCATGCGGAAAATCATATTTTTGCTTTTGAAACTCGATATAAATTGAGACAATTTCATCGTAAAATCTGGCAACATTGCCGGGTTCGCGTCGCTGGAGTGGGCAAACGGGGTCCTGCGTTGTTGTCGCATAAGGGCAATTAATCTTCACTGTTGGCGCCTTGGGAAATGTTAAATGAAGCGATTTTCATCGTGAGCGGCAGCGCGGGTTCTGGAGAGGGGCGCGGGGGCGCCGTGCCGGGCCGGGAGGGGCGGCCTGGCGCGGGGGAGGAAGAGGGGGGCGCGCTCCAGCCACCACGCAGGAATCCGCCGCTGCCAGCTCGGCCAACTCATCGACGAGAAGCAAAGTAGTCAGATTGTGGAAAATGGTAGGAAGGTGTATGCTGCCGTGCTAAGGAAGAACGCCGTAAGAACATTCGAGAGTTGCCAAATTTCCTTCGATAAAATGTTTAATTTCAGGAAATGTATGAACATTTTCTCTTGAAATTTTCAGAGCTTTTCGACGGAATTGCGAGCAAAATTATCTGAAAAATTTTAAGAACATTATTCACAAGTTTACCAGGAAATTCGTGTTTTATCAAAGGCAATTTGGCAACGCCTGAAGGTTCATACGGCGTTTTTCCTTAGCACGGCAGTATGGTGGGTAAATGGGGATGATAGGAGGGCAAAGACGCGAGTGCGTTTGAATCTTGAGAAGTGGAAAGAAAAATTATAAACTTTTGAGCTGGCCTCTTATGAGTATGTCGTTGACAATTACCAATCGCCAGCACAGGGCCGGATTTACGTTTTTAGCGCCCTAGGCTAAACTTAGGGTGGCGCCCTTAGAAGTAGGCGCTCTCGCGGGGGGGAGGGGCAGATGCCCCTCCCTTCCAGATCAGAAGGAGGATGTAAGGTGTCAGGAAAATGTCCAAATTCACCCTTAAAAAAACACGATTTTAAACAGTTTTGAGGTACGTTTACGTTTGCAAGTTGGTTTTGGAAAAGAAAAAGTAACAAAAGACTCGTTATATGAAAAAAAAATGAATTCTCAAAGATTTTGCGCCCCTCAGAATGTTGCACCCTAAGCTACAGCCTCTGTAGCCCATTGGTAAATCCGGCAATTTACAAGTGGTTGGCCAGTTATCTATGTAAAATTGCAATCAGTCGTACTGACATAGTGAAGTTTATTCACTGGTGTAAGACTTCTGAGGCGCTGCTAGGCTTGTAGCGCCTTCATTTTCGTGCGCTACTGCGCGGTTAGTTTAGTTGCTCATCCGAACCAAACCCAACTGAGAACTCGATTACAGCACACAGTTAAGGCAAAATAATTAGTGCTCTTTTTACTTCTCCTTATGGCTTTCACGCCTCTCTATTCATCCTCAGCGACTTGCCCGTAGCTGATGTTGACCAACTGAAGAATAGGAAATTCAAGACCTGGTTACCGCAGTCAAAACTGTTCGAACGTTTCATCTATTCAATGGGAATCCACTGGCTTTAGAATAATAATTTTTGATGTAAAAAGACTTTAAAAATCAAAGGATATTACCAACAAAGGACAATCAAAGAAAGCTTTTAGGTCCTTTTACAACGAGGATCGCCATACATTACCTTCATGCACTTACCAGGTTTCGAATTTCCATTCACCGGCTGCCTCTACACGTAAATCACTAAGAAAGCAAGAGCATCAAGGAAAACCTTGAAAAAGACTTGGGTCTTTGGTAACCGCTCATTGTCGGTTTGCCTTCAAATTTCAGTGTAGGCAACCCGCGCTCCTACGCGGCCGAATAGTGGTATCACTCTCAAGTTGTCACAAATGTGCGAGGAAGAGAGCAGGAATGATCAACTTACCTAGGGTGGCCTGGAACGGTGACTTGACCTCAGTATCAGTTTGCCTTCAGTTCTCAGTGTAGGCAAAACGAGCTCCCACGTACATGTACAGTTTCTGAGGAAAACCTTGAAAATTAGTGGATGAAGCAGTAAAACCAAGGTCCTTTCCAGATTCAGCGTTATGAGGGACAAAGGATTTTTAATCCATATGCTCGGCAAGTAAATAACGAAAAAATTGCAGACTTGAGTTTTCACTATCACAATGATTATTTTACTCTTTGGTGAGGTTGTTGGCACCTTCGTCAGAGTGGACCCCGGTTTTCTTCACCGCTAAGACAACACCGGCATCAATACAACGGCTAGTCCCGCCTTGCAGCGGGGGAGGGGGGGGCTTGAAGGGGGCGGGAGACCGGAGGGGGGAATACCGCCTCCTCCACCTCAGTCTGGTCACGAAAATTAACTGGAGTAAGAAAAGAAGAAAAAGAAAGAGTCGTATTTTCGCAGTGCCGTCACGTAAATTTCCATTCTTTAATCCTCGCTCGTTCCAGCTCCTCCTCATTTCCAGCTAGCCCACGGATCTCCCACCCACCCCTCCTGCCTCAGTCCTTACACTGCCGTGCTAAGGGAGAACGCCGTATGAAAATTCAAGGATTGCCAAATTTCCTTCGATAAAATGTTAATTTTTTGGCAAGTTGTGGATATTTTTCCTTGAACTTTTCAGGAACTGTAAGTGAAATTGCGAACAAAATTATAAGAAAAATTAGAAGGAAAATATTCCTATGTTTACCGGGAAATTCGTGTTTTATCAAAGGATATTTGGCAACGTCTGAAGGTTCATAAGGCGTTTTTCCTTAGCATGGAAATACGATTCCCACCGGAGTTTTGACGGTTTGCCGCGTTGGTGAACGTGTACTTGGAGGACACCGTAAGATCGTATAATGCAAGAATTTGGCACTATCCGGTAACCAATAGCTACAATCTTTGTGGCGTTTACATTTCTTCTTCTTTTTCCTCAATGGAGAAGGGAGCACTAATTGCGAAAACTTTTGATTGAACGTATAATTCTTCGAAATCAGATGATACGGTAAAACTAATCACTGTACGCGGTCTTTTTGCAGCTGAGGCATTCGATCATGAAAGTAATGACGTCACAGTTTATGACGCCGCACAGTGGATCGAGTCAATGGAAGAGGCCGGACTAGATTTGGAAACTTTCATAGCTCATAACTCCGTTCATACAGCAATTTGAGATTATAAAAGTGGTTCAATTGGTTTCCTCGTAAAATTTCAATCTAAGTGTATCCCTTAAAATTGGATCGCATTTTGAAAAAGGAACCAAGAGCAATCCAATGTTGCTAGAATTGTGCAACTTAAATTCTTTTTAAGAAAATTACTGAGGTCATGCAAAAAATTAAATTTAGAAAGGTAATTTTCGCCTTGAATTTATAATGTATTAGGAGTAAAGATAAAGCTTGTTTAGATGATCAGTTTATATTTGCGAGGTACATAAAGTTGCACCATCTTAGCGACATTGGAATATGCTCTTGGTTCCCTTTTGCAAAATGCAATCCAATTTAACATGTGACGAATTAAACATCAAAAAGAGCAGTTTTTGTAAAAAATTTCATGTCCGATCTCTCTAATTGACTCGCTCCATTGTGCACCGGCAGCAGTCGCACAGTGTTCTAGAGAGAAAAATTGTTGAAATTTTCCTCCTGAAAATGTAGCTGGATTAGAATGGACGCAAAGAGCATGTGGAGTTGATGTACATAGATTTTTCCAATTTGCGAGGTAGGTAATGAAGAGGAGGCGTGGGCACACTACAATGGTAGGTCTGAATTTGAGTTTACTCGCTAAAAGCAGTATGGATTTTCAAGATTTTGAGGTTATGTTAATGCTAAAAGTATGCTTGATAATAAGAATTTTTTCGGATTAGACTATTCTTATTTCATCTATAAGCTATAAAATACAGATACTTCCTGTTTGAATATAGTTACCTACTCATCAGTGCAGGTTTGAGACATCGGAAGCAACATTTTTGAGGTCTTTTTTCTTTCACAATATACTTCAAGTGTCGCTTTAATGAGGAATGAAAGATGCATTGAATGAAAGAGGAGAAATCAGAAAACATACAACCTTGCATAATGTAGAATTCAGTAGAGTCTAAGCATTTTTCATCAGACACCAACCACGTGAGAAAGTTGAGAGAAATTTCTGTGAGAAATGAAGGGCTTACTTCCTGACATATACCTGCGCGGGCAACCTTGGAGTCTCTGTAAACTGCAGGCCAATATCAGGAGGCGTTCCCTATCCTGTCCCCCCTGAAAGAGTCCCCCATAAGTCCCATAACTAGTCCCTTACCCCCCTCCCCACCTCCACTCGTAGAATCAGTCGCCCCATCTTCGCCTCATGCCCATGCCGTCTACACCCGCAGTCCCGCCATCGCGGCGAAACCATGATCGTCCGTGATTCGTGCTGTCACGTGCAAAGTTCTTGCCGAAAAGGGAGGGGAGCCCTAAAAATACCCAGGATACTCCGCCCCTATAGTTAATTTGTCTCTATCCCACTGCGGGGCTTGGAATCCGAAGCGGGGCTACATTGACAGGCAGGGACTTATCTTTGACGATAGATAACGTGAATTACGATTTCAATGTGGAGCCACTAAATCTGGCTCATCCATTGAAACGCCCATCTGAGTAAACAAACAGATAGCACGTAAGATGTTTCTAAAACGAGCCGAATGTAATGGCTGATTATTGCAAAACGTAGTCCAGATGAACGTAAGATTCTTTAAAATAACTCGTCTGAAGAAAACCCAACATGTTTGGCTTGATTGCACTTTAATTTTCCTGGATAGTGTTACTTAATATCCGGTGTGCGTTGGAGTCAGTGGAATGGGCAGTGGGAATTTCAAGAGCACGTAAATATAGCATGTAATTTAAGGATAATCCCTCAGTATGTCATAAAAAGCCGTGATGGGAAAATAAAAAGAAGCTGGTTTACATTTCCAAACGAGATCATGCACTTTAGCACTTTATTCAGACGAGAATTCCTGAGACTTAAAGATAATTATATCATCCCTATTTTACAAACGAAACATAATATTCTCGTGCAAGAGATGTTACATAAACTTACAAAAAAAGTCAGTCAGAATCGCTTCAAATTTAAAAGAATAATATGTATATAGTTTTTACAATTTTACGAGACATTATTCAGTCTTCGACAAAATGCCAAAACAAACTTAAAAAATTATCGCATCCTTCTTTTCCGTTATTACATGTATTATCAATGTAACATTGTGACATGCAAAAATAAAGCAAATAAAGTTCACAATTTTCATTGGTCGGACACGACAACTACAAGGTCTTAGTGTTACTCTCATCGTCTTATCTCATCAAAATCGTCAAGTTAACTGAAAAATTAGGACCAAGAATCATCAACATAAATCAAATAATAACAATATCTTACGACACAAATTAACAAATTAAACTATTCTGTAAGTAACGGAAAAATAGATTTCTCTTAGTTTGTTAGCCCGAATACCGGTTACTGAATACCGTTAGTTATAGCACCAGTGTTTCCCATTGATGGCACTCTAGCTATGCTCTGACTGTAGGTACCCAAACTTCCTTGCGCATAACGGGAGGCACGCTGCTGCAGTCACTTCAGCTAAACTGAACCTACAATAACACGGATAGTTAATGCAAGTTTCTTTTAGTCAATTCATACAGGGTACTAGAAAATCATATGAATCCAAAACTTTTTTTATACTTCATTGTGCTTTGATTGCAAATCGCGTTTTTCGCTAATCGAAGTGGCACGTGAGGCACACAGTTTTGCCGTTGAAGACGTGAAAATTTGTCCACGAACACAACTTTCTGCGCATTTTCACGCAATTAGCGCACCCCCACCCCAACTTTACCATATGAGCCCCTATAACGAGTCGCACTCATTGCAAAGTGCGTTCTCCATGCATAAAGCAACGCGAATTAGTCAGTCCACCTACTTTTCTGCGCTGCGTTAAAGTCTCTGAAATGATCTCTGCGTTTAGCCGTCTTGGCGATTCCTCTTGTGGCTCAGCATGATCAATGATTTTCAAATAATAATGTCTCACTCTCCATGCGTCAAGCAACTCCCGTTTGTCGGTACGCCTACTTTTCTGCGCTGTGTTAAAGTCCCTGCAGTGATCTCTGCATTCTAATCCAATTTATACAAAATATGGATTAAATGAAAACTGTTTGTATAAACCGTGCGATTAGTTTTTGGATAGCATTATTGGTTAGCGAGAAAATAGTAAAAGCAAAACAAGGAGACAGTGGAAACAAGCCGAAAATACATGAAAATACACGGGACGTTTCGGTGTCTCACGACATCATTATCAACCGCTAAAAAAGCACGAAAATAAAAAAGGCATTAAAATCAAAAGAGACCAGAACGGCGTCACTCTCTTTTGATTTTAATGTCTTTCTTATTTTTGTGCTTTTTTAGCGGTTGATAATGTTGTCGTGAGACACCGAAACGTCCCGTGTATTTTCATGTATTTTACTAGTTGTTTCTACTGCTTTCTTGTTTTGCTTTTACTATTTCCGTTTTAGTCTTCCTGCGTGCCTTTGTCTTTGTTCTTTGGCGAGAAAATTAACATGATAAATTAACACATAATTCTCGTAAATTTTCAAGAAATAACGCTTGTTTTAGATATTAGAATCGAAGGAGAGTACTTGCGTTCTTTTTACCTCGAGACGAAAGCTTGTCGGGCGGGGCCAGCGAAGGCTATCGTTTGCTTTGGGACTTGATTTCGTCGACGAGCATCATGACTTTGATTTTGAAAGCGCGTATCTGCTCCTCGGGCATGGTCTCCAACTCGGGAAGTAGACTCAGCAAGAAGTAGCGCATCCCATTTTGCTCGCCTAGGGAATCGCGCGAGGGTGTTCGTGTTGGCGTTGGTGTTAGTGTTGCCGTTGGCGTTAAAGTTACCGTTGGCGTCTTCTTCAGAGCCTCCAGGCTTGCTTCCAGGCATTGTATCTTTGTCTGCAGCTCGCACAGCTCCTCCGTGGCAGGACGCTTACCCACGGACTCTGTCACTTCCTGTCGATGAATACATGAAAATAGGTTAAATAGAAAATTTGCAGTGTCTGAAATCTTGAGAATTTCATCTTTAAAATGATACTGCTATGAAAATTGAGTACCTCTAAGGATATCCTTGGTTTCTAAATTGAACAATTATTGGAGAAAATATGACAAAATAACCTAATCTGCTAAAATAGATGACGTCATAAGGCGGCACATTTTCTCACTTTTAAATCTAATCTCCAATTTCCTATGTCAGAAAAACATTATGAAAAATACTGCGAACTCAGCTTATTAAGCACTCTCAGATGAAGCACTAAAATCTTGGTGTGCAAGTCCTCCATTGACCCAAAGAGAAAAGCCGTTTTTCCCTCATCCGAATTGGGAGCTGAAAAGGGGTCCACCGATGCACTGTTGAGTGTTGTTGCGCGGGTCGCGCAATTTTCAGTGCCATCGTGCGGGAAATTTTCAGTAAAATGTATAGAAAAAAAGAAAAAGAAACTCGCATACAGTGCATCGGTGGATCCTTTTTCAGCTCCCATTTTGCGACGTGGAAAAACGGCAAATGTATCAACACTATCCACTATCGACGTCACAATCATCTTTCCAACGCGGTCTTACCAGTCTTACCTCCACGAAGCTGCGGATCATGGAGGCAATGAGTTACTTGCGCCGGTCACAGATTCTCTTTCGATGCTTGATTCTTGTAGACTAGCTACAAATTTTAAGATCCTTCCAAATCGCAAATTTCAACGTTGCATATATAAACCGAGATATTGCGCTATGAAAAATTCGGTTCATGACGTCATCCATCGCGGTAGTGACCTTCTTGCTTTCTTCCACTCCGCTTTCATCCAAGTTCCCTGGTAAAAATTGGCAGTAGAATCTGTGTTCCAAAATACCTTAGACTTAAAGCCGGCTGTAAGATTTTCAATAGCTTCTATAGCCAGCTTCACAACTTCTTATAGCCTTTTATAGCCGATGGCGATTGAGCAACGGCCAGGCGAAAGAGTGTATGCTAAATGTTACTAATTACGGATGCTAGGACTGTTTTCGGATTACTGCTCTATTTTTGGGCCGTAGTATCTTGATTTATTTTGCGCGGAAAGCTCCGTACTTTTGAAGGATGCCTGCCATTCCTAATATATTGGAGCGCCTTCAATTTCGTATGATACTGTGCAATACCTCTGGTGTGAAATAGTTGCTTCAAGCGCCGTGGCGCGCTGCGGCGCGACGGGCGGGCAGCCAGCGCGAAAAGCGCCTCAGCGCCTACAAACCTAACAGGGATACTTCACGCATTGCGCCATGCGTGAAGTATCCCTGTTAGGTTTGTAGGCGCTGGTGCGCGCTTATAGCTAGCAGCACGCCGCTCCACTCTGTGTTAGGCTCCAATATAATCTTGCGGATTCAGCGTTTTTCAACTCATGATTTTGAAATGTTTGCACATCCTGTATGGATTATTCTCATTTTAATTTATGAAAAAAAATATGTATTAAAGGAAAATATAATGTGTGTTTTGTAAATATTATGGTGGTTCCGTATCAAACTTAATGATTTCCAAAGCACACGAATTTCTACAATTTCTTATAGCCTTTCATAGCCGATGGCGATAAAGTGTAAAGCCCGGCGATAGGAACTATAGCCCGGCTGCATACTTTTTTATCGCTTCGTATAGCCCGGCTATATAATTCGCTCCACTTTCTACAGCCAGCTATATGTATGACTTTCTATTGCCTTCTTTAGCCGGCTATAAGAATTTCTATGGTATTTTGAAACGCAGCTCCTATCGCCAATTTTTACCAGGGTTTCACGTTGGGTAACCGGTGCAAATGTGTGTCTCACTGACTAATGAAAGCAATATGGAAGAAACCAAGGATATGACTACCGCGGTGGATGACGCCATAATCCGAATTTTTCAAAGCGCCGTATCTCGGTTGATATTGAACGTAGAAAGTTGCGATTTGGACAGACCATATTATTTTTAGATAATCTACCGGGAAAAAAAGAAAAAAAACCCCAGAACTAAGAATCAAAATACGATTCTGTGACCAGCGCAACTGATCCACACCCTTCATTGGAGCCGTATTCATTAAGGGAGTAAGACGTGGCTATGCTCCGTCCGACCCTTTCGGCCAGAACTCTGCTTTCGACTCCCGTCGCTAGAGCTGTGGCGCGAAATTTGAATTTGAATAACTTTGCAATCTTGGCCGAAAATATTTATGACCATCGCTGCCGAGCTAAGGAAGAACGCCGTATGAACTTTTAGGCGCTGCCAAATTCCCTTACAATTAAATTCAAATTTACTGAGGAAGTTGTAAATACTTTCCCTCACATTTTTCATACTAATTTGTTTGCAGCTCAATCTAAAATATTCGACGATTTCAAGGAAAAATATGAATGAATTTCGTCCAAAACACGTATTTTATTCAGGGAAAGTTGGCAACTCTCGAATGTTCATACGACGTTTTTCCTTAGCACGGCAGATCTGCTGTTGATAAACAGACACGTCACTAAAAGCGAACGGATTTTCATTCTTAGAGAATTGGCTTCCACTGAATTTGTTCGTTTTCATCAATAGCAGACGGCCCATTCACAAATTCTATCCATTCACAGATGACCTCTAAAAATAAAGGAAAATACAGGGTTATTCAAAAGTCACGCACCATTGGCCATAACTTTAGTTCTAATTAAGATATCGATTTGCGGTTTCTGGAATTTTTCCTCATATTGAGAGGGAAACTTGTTTAGGTACTTTCCAATTTTTGACCCCCTCCGGGGAAGGTGGGCGGGGTGCAACTCAAAAATTTCAAATAGCAACCCCCCCTCATGCCAGTGGTGCGTGACTTTTGAATAACCCGTTACACAGGACACGAACCTCTACGGCTGGGGTGTAATTGAGCGGCGTGACAAAAATTGACGGCTTTGGAGGGTCCTCTATGTCCTCAGTTGAGAGGTTGTGCTCGATGTCGAGTTGGTCATCCGGCTCGATCTTGATAGTGACGTCGTGACGACCCGGGTGGTTGGTGTCGGCGTCGGATGTGACGTCAGGGGGCGCTCCTGAGTCCGTCCCGGAAACGTCTCTCCCGGACCTTGCCGCGGTCACCCTGGGCTTCAGGAACCGCAGTTGCTCCTGCTGGAAGTGCGGCTTCTTCTGCTTGTCATTTCCTAGCGCCGACCTGTTCGGACTTTGCTGATACGACGATTCGATGTTCGCCAACTCCTCCTCGCAATGACCCACTGCAACACGAAAACATTCGACCTTAATAATAATAACAATAGTCATGAGATTTAGAGAGATATGATGCAATCTATGATGATACTGGTTGAGAAATGTTCATTAAACCGCCGAATACCCTCGAAAAGGGTGAAAATCCCGACAAGATTCTGAGATCTTGCATAATTATAATTTTTTTAAAAAAAAAATGTATATGTAGTAGGCGGGGCGAACTAGTTTTTCTTTCGAAAACAGCCTCCAAGGTCACAAAGTAACGGTTCAAAATTGAATGATTGAAATCGGCTACGACGTCACGCGAGACCACATCCCTTCCCTCCCAGTGGCGTGGCGTGAATTGCGATTTATCGATTGTTATGCCATTTAAACCTATGGTAAAGAATCAATTATAAAGGTGTTCGCTGCAAACACCCTGTTTATCGATCCTTTTCCATAGGTTTCAATGGCGTAACGATCGATATATCGCAAAGCACGCCACGCTACTGCTCCCTCCTCTTCGTGCGGGGCGTAATTTTTGAGCTACCCTCTTCCAGGTCCACCTTTGACGGAACACTTACCCTTGATACTGACGTCATCCTCGCCGTGAGAGTTCGACACGTCGGCGAGACTAAAATTCTCTCGGGCTTGATCTACAACTTTCGTCGATGAACTTCGTTTATCAATAGCAGAATTCGGTCCGCTCAAATCAGTCCTGAGAAAGAGCCGTCGAGTAGGATCAGGAATCCAGGACCTTGGTCGACCCATATTCGCATCACCGCTCGAAGAACCGGTCGGCAGTTCACAGTCAGAAACGGTTGGTTCCCTCAAGGGATCGGAATCCCTCTTCGCAACGTCTCTCCGACTTCTCCGGACGTGGACGTCGCGAACCTCCACGTTGCGGACCTGTTCGTTCACGTGGAGGCGGATCTCTCCGTAACCGACCTCCTCGCTGCGTGCCTCTCCGCTACGTACGGTGGGCACGGCGGTGGAGTTGAGTCGAGGCAAGAACGAGACACCGGGGAGTAACTTCTCCTTGAGCCTGGAGGAGGTTTCCAGATCGTTCTGGGTGAAGTGAAGGGAGCAGATCCGCGAATGTCGCGACGGCTTGAAGGAGCGGCCGCAGAACCGAACCCAGCGTTCGAAACGCTCGGGGGATTTCTCGCGGTTCGGGAACCGGTGGAAGTGCACCCGGCTTGTCCCTCCCGACTTATTCTTATCCGAGTTCTCACCGCACCCGCAAGCGCAGCATGTCTTGGGCATGTTCAAACCGGAGCTGTCGCCGATGGGGCGGGCTGATGACGCGCTTTTAGAATCTGTAGATACAAATCTATTGCGAAAATTAATAAAGTAACGGTACTTGGGTAGGGTGCGCAAGTTGCAGACCGGAGGCCACAACTAGAGTCCCTTTATACTAAGAGTCAAGACAACACCCCCTCATGAAGTCACAAACGGGAACAATTACACAAATTGAAAGTTTTTCGTAATCTTTGATCGGTCCATTCTCAAATTCCTTTATCCGTTCCTTCTCTCATTCCGTTTGTTCCTTGCCGTACCCCTAATTCCCCGGTCCATTCCGGATTATAATCTTTGCAGTTGGTGAAAAGGTAATCTTTATTCCCGTTTGTGACACTGCGGAGGCCTAAAATACGGGAACCAATCAGAAATGGATTCACATTGTCTTGACTCTCAGTGTAAAGGGACTCTAGTCACAACAATCTGTCAAAGAAAATGCTATCACATTCCATAGAGTGCATAGAGTCGTGATGGAAGTGGGAGAGCTGGCGCCACTTTTAAGCATTTGCCAGGTCCCGAATTCCGAGATTCCTGTGCGGCGCCGGGTCCCTTTTCCGATACATAATCGATTGTTTGAGATACACGGGGACCCGGCTATATTCCACACCGCCATTTTGGATCGAATATCGACGGTGAAACTACCAAACCACGTATCTCGTTTGCGGTGTTTAAAAATCTACGCTCGCATTTTATTTTTTTTTTGAAGTAGACCAAATCAATATTATTCCTTGAAATTTTCACAGAATTTTCTTCGCACGAAGAGGAAAAATCACAGAAATTTTCAAGACTGGACGTTAAGTAGTTTTTCATTTAAAAAATAAAGTATGACAGGAAGTCTGCAACGTCGCAAACCGAGATACGTGGTTTGGTAGTTTCACCGTCGATATGTATCGAAAAAGTGACCCCGCAGCCCGCACACCGGGCTCGGGGCTCGTCGAGCAGAACATGGCGCCAGCTCTCCCACTTATTACATTACGACTCTATGTACTCTTTGTCAAATTCCAACGAATCGTCGCGCAGACCTCGGTTGCCAATTTGCGCGCCTTAATTGTCATTATAAGTAGAGAGAAAGAGGGAGGGGGGAGAGGGAGACAGTTGCGACAGTCAACGATCTTTACTCTTTCCATCACTCACAATCAGAAGGAAAAATTCTCTAAACGATCATGGTTCAAAATTTCTATGTTTAAATGGGGTTCTCTGCCTACTTTTGTTTATCGACAGTCAACGATCTAACCTCTTGCCATCACTCACAATCAGAAGGAGAAATTCCTTAATCGATCATGGTTCAAAATTTCTATGTTTTAATGGGGTTCTCTGCCTACTTTTGTTTGTCCTACTTCTTAAAACGTTGAAAAATACACCGATCACAAACTAAATTCAGGTAAAATATGAAAATTAGCACGGATAGAAAATGATACTCGCACGACGAACTACGGGACACTGACGAAATGAAGGCAGCCGCTACGTGAAAACTCGCGGCCGATGACGCAAGCGTCGCGGCGCGGCTCCGTTGACGTCACGAGGACTCGGATCGCACGCAGTGACGCATCCATGGAACTGGATTCCCCTCCCCTCATCGCCGACCCATCGATTTCTCCGCCTATATGTTCCTCAGATTGACGCTTCTAAGCAAGTTACCTGGAAGCAGTAATCGCGGTAAGTTGCGATTCGATCGGAGAATGTATTGCGACTTTATCGACACGCCGATTTAAAGCAGTGTTATAGGATATAAATTGCGATTCCATCGTATAAATTTGCAATTGAAACGCGATTTTATTGACGTCAGTCTATAGCAATATTTCCGAAAAAAAGTCGGGATAAATTGAGATAAAATTTCGATTTTGTGGAACGCGATTTCACTAAGACAAAATTGCGACAAGACTGAAGATAATCACTAGGATGTTGATGATCCTGGTGATTTTATGGAAAAAAATCGTAAAAAATCGCAACTTGAATTCAAAATATTGCAATTTCTCCGTTGAAAAATACTACACGGGTAAGTATGTGGATATACTAAGAGAGGGGTGAAAATCATTGATGATTTCAGTTATTCGTACTTTACTCATATACTATTACTAACAGGGATACTTCACGCATTGCGCAATGCTTGAAGTATCCCTGTTAGGTTTGTAGGCGCTAATGCACTTTTCGCGCTGGCTACCCGCCCACCGCGCCGCAGCGTGCCACGGCGCTTGAAGCAATTATTTCAGACCAGAGGTATTGCACAGTATCATACGAAATTGAAGGCGCTCCAACATATTAGGAATGGTAGGCATCCTTCAAAAGTACGCAGCTTTCCGCGCAAAATAAATCAAGATAGCGGTAATCAGCGGTAGTCCAAAAGCTCAATAAATCCTAGCATCCGTTGTTTGTAACATTTAGCATACACTTTATCGCCTGGCTGTTGCTTAATCGCCATCGGCTATAAAAGGCTATAAGAAATTGTGCATCCGGCCATGGAAGCTATTGATAATATTACAGCCGGCTTTAGGTCTATGGTATTTCGGAACACAGATTCTACTGCCAATTTTTACCAGGGCCGGTAAATCTTACCCTATAGTATAAAATCATAAGCACACCGTGCACCCATCCGTGCGTGTGCACCCATTTTTCTCGCTGTGTCTCGGCACTCAGAGAAACAACGCTGCCAGATTGTGCTGCGTCGTCTTTTGTGCGGGAATGATTTTGTGCGGAAACGATGACCCGAAAAATTTGTGCGGAAATGATTTTATGCGGAAAAGCGTGCAGCCGGCGGGAGGGGAGCGGGGAGTGGAGGAGAAACCGAGCGTTACACCCTTAGCGTGACACCCTCAGCGTGACACGGTGTGCTAATGATTTTATACTATAGGGTAAGATTTACCGGCCCTGGTAAAAATTGGCAGTAGAATCTGTGTTCCGAAATACCATAGACCTAAAGCCGGCTGTAATATTTTCAATAGCTTCCATGGCCGGATGCACAATTTCTTATAGCCTTTTATAGCCGATGGCGATTAAGCAACAGCCAGGCGATAAAGTGTATGCTAAATGTTACAAACAACGGATGCTAGTTGAGTTTTTGGACTACCGCTGATTACCGCTATCTTGATTTATTTTGCGCGGAAAGCTGCGTACTTTTGAAGGATGCCTGCCATTCCTAATATGTTGGAGCGCCTTCAATTTCGTATGATACTGTGCAATACCTCTGGTGTGAAATAATTGCTTCAAGCGCCGTGGCACGCTGCGGCGCGGTGGGCGGGTAGCCAGCGTGAAAAGTGCATTAGCGCCTACAAACCTAACAGGGATACTTCAAGCATTGCGCAATGCGTGAAGTATCCCTGTTAGGATTGTAGGCGCTAGTGCGTGCTTAACTCTGGCAGCACGTCGCTCCGCTCTGTGTTAGGCTCCAATATATAATCTCGCGGAATCAGCGTTTTTCAACCCATGATTTTAAAATGTTTGCACATCCTGTATGGAATATTCTCATTTTAACTTATGAAAAAAAAAAATATGTATTAAAGGAAAATATAATGTGTGTTTTGTAAAAATTATGGTGGTTCCGTATCAAACTTAATGATTTCCAAAGCGCACGAATTTCTACACAATATCTTACAGCCTTTTATAGCCGATGGCGATAAAGTGTAAAGCCCGGCGATAGGCGGAGCTATAGCCCGGCTGTATACTTTTTTTTATCGCTTCGTATAGCCCGGCTGTATACTTTTTTTATCGCTTCGTATAGCCTGGCTATGTGATTTGCTCCGCTTTCTACAGCCAGCTATGTGATTTTCTATTGCCTTCTTTAGCCGGCTATAAGAATTCCTATGGTATTTTGAAACGCAGCTCCTATCGCCAATTTTTACCACGGGGACTTTACTGTGCTACAGTTTCGCCGCTGTACTTTGGAAATCATGTACGTGCATTTAGGCTTAAAAGGTCACAGATTTTCTGTCGCATTACATTTCGTCGACGGACAAATCTTCATATTTTTGTTCCAAATTCCGTGTGATTCATCAAGATTGTTATTTGAAAATTTCGTACTTAAACGTCAAAATTATTTTTTCCGGTGGAAAAAACAACCAAAAATCCGAACAATAAGTGAAGACTAATTAAAGTGTGTTAAAAAAACTAACCAAATCATGCTTAAATATCTAATTTTTTTACAATTTCGAGGACCGGCGCCGGATAATACTATTAAATAATGCATTTCTCGGAAAATTGACAATGTCACTATAAAAATCAGTAATTTAGTTTACTTCATCGGTGCAATAGGCAACGCTGGAATTAAGTTAAGGCGTATGAGAAACAATCAAAGTTTCAGTTACTTTGTGTCACTTGCGACAGACACTAAACAAATTTCATTACAACGCTAGGATGCATCTATTCGGGCTCCTTGGGTGTGCGTGTTGCATACCCTCCGAAGTGAAGGCATTTTGACTTCAGGCACTAGGTTAAGTTGACTCCCGACCTGTGCAAACGAGTCCCCATCCCTTGATATCGAGATGGCCCATACTACTGAAATTGGAACGCACACATGGTAAGATAACAAAAGTGGGATGGAGCACATTCAAATGAACCGTTGTCAAAAATTGTATCGGCAGAAGGCCTCTAAATTCAGGTTACAGGTAAAAAAGTACGTTGGAACAAAAATTCCTCACCGATTGACGTGTTTTCGTATCCGTTTCCGTGAAGTACTTCTACCGTTTCATGTACCTCTTCAATTTCATGTACCTCTTCCATTTCATGTGCCTCTTCCATTTCACGTACCTCTTCCATTTCATGTACCTCTTCCATTTCATTTACCTCTTCTATTTCATGTATCTCTTCCATATTTTTGGGCGATCTCAGAGAACTACGAAGTTTCGCTGCACTGAGGTTCCTGTGGAACCGCTTCACGTCTACTGCCGTCACCAAAGCGCCATCGCCGTGCCTGGAGATTTCCTCACGGATGATGTCAGATGACCGTTCTGAACTGCAATCCATTGCTCTTCTTTTCAGCGAGTTGGTGACTTTTTGGCGGAGCAAGGAGCTCTCCGTTGCTGCAGCATGGTTGTGCTCGAGCCGCTTTTCCAGCACAATGTCGCGTTTGCCGTCCATTTTCAGAAAAGCTCTGCACCTTCGATTCACGCATTTCCACCTGCTTACGTCTCCGGCGAGCTTCTTATGATACCCGAATTTAAAGTTCTCGATCAAGATTAATTGTTTACCCTTTTCACTGAACATCACGAAATACCATATGAAATAGCACTGCTAAAAACGCGATATAGTCGTGTCTTTTAAGGATTATACACTGTACTAATTCTTTTGCAATTTCGAGGACCGGCGCCGGAAAACACTATTAATCAATGCATTTCTCGGAAAATTGACAATGTCACTATAAAAATCAGTAATATAGTTTACTTCATCGGTACAATATGAAACGTTGGAATTAAGTTAAGGCGTGTGAGAAACAATCGAAGTTTCAGTTACTTTGTTTTGCTTGCGACAGACACTGAACAAATTTGGAAAAGAAGAGGAAGAATAAACTCAAAACGTGGTGTAAATGGAGGTGAGCCCTGGCTCAAAGCCGAAGTACTTAGTGAATTAGCCACTCATTGCGCGCGTGGTAATTTTTTTTTTTTTTTTATCCTGCAGTTCACAGTCCGTGGCGACGANGGGGGGGGGGAGCAATTTGCAAGCGTTTACTTCAAGTTATTAAAATAAGATCAGCGTCAGTGATAACTTCACATCGACCTCTCTCGCGCCTCACGAAATGATAACTGAACGCTCACAGGAGCCAACTCGCGGTCGAAGCCGAGTTCTCCCGGCACTGTTCCAGGCGGGAGCCAACTCGACTCGCCTTCTATCGAACGGGAGCCAACTCGACTCGCCTTCTATCGAACGGGAGCCAACTCGACTCGCCTTCTATCGAACGGGAGCCAATTCGGGTACGCACGGTCGAGTGGGCGCCTCTCGGACGAGGGGGAGGGAGGCCTGCGTCCATCTGTTGGCAACGCTAGAGTCCCTTTATACACAGAGTTACGACAACTCACTTTTGGTTGGGCCAGGATTGGGCTGAAAGTGGCCTAAAAAAAAATCCAATTCTGATTGGTTCTCGCTCATGGAGGCCGAAACTAGTGCACCAAGATGGCGGTACCTCGTATGTGAACAAGAATAATGAAAATATTACCTAATTGTGGTTTATCAAGAGTAAATTGTTATTGCCATCGGTCCAAAATGAAAATAGATTAAGAAATTATTCACAAACCAATCTCATTTTCTTTTTAATTGATCAATTTGTTGATGTTGTTGTTTCTGTGTGACAGACATCGCAGGATTCCTGATCCTTATCCCCCAATATCGTTCGTTTGAGTGCACTAGTTTCGGCCTCCATGGCCAGCCAAGGTCGGCTGCCAGTCAGCTGATAATCGAGTTGTCGTTACTCTGGGTATAAAGGGACTCTAGGCAACGCG